CACTATAGGGTATAGAGGTGTTATTTGAACTGTTGAAAGTGTAAACTTGCAAACTTAAGTATCATTTTTTCAGTCTGCTTTTGTATAATTGGATTTGTAATTTGTGTTGGTGGGTAGATTGTCAAGGTTGGCTTTTGTAGACCAGTTGGTCTTCATATTGTACAAACATTTTTTTTGGAGTTAATACATTCTATCTTTTCGAAAAAAAAAGTAATATTAATATTTTTTTTTTTATTTTATAAGGAAAAAAAAAAAATTGCCTAACCTAAGGCGGACTAGAAGAATGAAAAGGTGCAAACTACAACACGATTTTGTTTACAGCTCTATCAGCTGGAAACCTTACGATAGCTTGCCTTCTCGGCTGTCGACAATCCCCGAGCTATATCATTCCGGCGGTCGCCATAACACTATTCCAGGTTTTAGCTAAAGCTAAATTTTGTTTTTTGGTTATTTAGTTGGTTGTGTCCACTGACCTGTGACCTTATAACGGCTTTATTTTGTGATTTTGAATGTCGTGGCTCGTGGGTTTTTGAGTTTTTGTGAAGTTTGTAAAATAGTGAGTTTAGTTGAGTGAATTCTGTGAACTTTGTGATTTATTTGCTTTTCATTAGCTGTTTTTAGAGCTGTTCAACGAAAAGAGCCGCTTGTGAGTCTTAGTCCAGCTCGTTATGGCTTGAGCTCGGTTCGGTTTGTTTGATAAACGAGCCGAGCTCGACTCGGTAAGGCTCGACAATATGATTTTTTGTATCATGTTTTCGAGATCGGCTCCTTAAGTGTCAAGTTCGAGCACGGCTCGTTTATACGCCTACTGTGTGGTGCCTCTGCTGCACGGTTCAATCAATTTCGGATTTCCTTTGTATAATGTTTGGGGGAAGGCCCTTTATTTCTCGTACTAAATTATTGTCACTTACATCTTCTCATACTAAATTATTGTCACTTACATCTTCTGCAGGACTTTCCACATGGATCTAGAAAAGTTGATACAACTGTATAATAATGTATCTCGGGAAGAAATGGAAAAGTTATATGCACGTGAATTATTTTTTGAGGACAGCAGCAGCGACAGCGACAACGACGAGCTTGAAGTGGTGGTTGCACGCTCCATACACCGCCTTCATGAGAATAGAGAGAAAGAGAAGAGAAAAGGCAGCGTGTCTTATTTAGCAGGACCCTTGGTTCAAGTTCTCTATGTTCACCTCTTACCGGTTGATCATCAGCCATTCGCTGTCCATGGGCGAATCTATATAGAGTTCCGTGATGCTGCAAATGGAGAAAAGATTATTCATAACCTATATGATCGGCCAGCTCACGATGCTCAGATTATTGGACCAGATGGCGGCACCTTGGCGCTGACGAGCCCGATGAGCCCGAGAGGAGTGTTTGACTGGCCACATAACATTTCCATGTCACTGTTCGATACGAGCCTTGTGCTCAATGTTTTCGCGGGGGGGTAAGAAGTTATTTAACCGGGATTCATGCTTTTCTAATGACACAAGTGAGTTGGAGCATTATATTCGTGGCAGGCTTGATTCCTCCATTACTTATGAGGTGTGCTATGCTCCTATGCCGCTGGCAATCTACGGGTATCTTAGAGTTGAGGTTCATAAGAAGGGAGAAAAAGCATATCGTCAGACTATTGATGTCCAAGGAAAAATTGTTGCTCGTTATAGCAACACAGATGGCACAAGCTCCACATGGGGCGCCTGTACGCTTTTTGATAAGCAAGGTGGGGAATTTGAAAGAGTTGAGATTGATCCGGTGATCAGGAAGGGCATGATCAAACTGTCTCGATGTTGGGTGGCCTTGCCTGCGTACGCATCTCTAGGCATTGATCTCGACTTGTCGGAATTCGGAACTCAGAGAAAGATCCTTACAGAAACAGCAGAATTTCGAGTTAATTATGATAGTGGAGGGTCCATGGTGTTTGTCGTAAATGACGAAACAGCTATCAAAATTCTTGTGGGCTGGCAATCACCTAGGCCACAAGCAAGAAGTAAAAAGGAGGAAGAAGATAATAGCGATGATGAGGTTCTTTTATATCATGAAAAACATCTTTTTTTTCTCTTGAGTTCATCGTTTAATTTATCTAATATCACTAATTGTCAAGCACTCTGGCTAATTGAATCACCCCTCCTTTTTCTCTTTCCATTTTTCAAGTTGGATAATGATGATGACGAAGATGATGGCGGCAATGATGATGATGATGACGACCAAATGAATGAGGTATACTGTTCTCCCACGAACTGCAATTGTCATTTATGCGTGGATCACTTATTGATTGATGATTATCCCACCCCCACCCCTCTTTTCTTTGAAGTCCTTCGATGCTGAAATGGCTCACCTGGAAAGTGACAAAGAGGAGAGTGGCGATGAGGAAATGGATGAGGTATATTATTTTATTCGGCACATTTATTATTTTCGATTATCTTTTGGATGGACTCTGTTTTCATATCTATGGATGGATCTGATATTGATTCCTCTGTATGTAGGTATCCCATCGTGAAGCATCTCCAAGCCACCTCAGGCGTGCGTCCTGGTATGCTTTCTATTCAAAAATTCAAAAATTTCTACTGGAAATTCCCAGATACATTTGCTATATTTAGTTTTGTGCAACTCAGGTGTAATGTAATCTTTTATGTTGATTCCCTTAATTAAAAGTAAATTGCAGCCGCATGAGGATAGGCCATTTTCATGTTCCGCGGTGCAGATTTTCTCAGTGTTCATAGGCCGAGCAAAGTTCAGACCTCTGCAAATCTATGGTTCTGTTATACTATCATCCCACATTGGGAAATCTCAGCTTTTTAGCAGAGAAGCAAAGGAGGATGCCTTTAAATTGGATGAGCATGTGACAACCATACCTGTACTCGAGGGCTGCCAGGCCTATGATGAGTGTGCCTCTGTGAAAGTGAAATTTGACCTCAAGGACACCGAGAGCAGCCTGCACATCAAAGGCTACGTTAATTGGGATTTGAGAGGTGCGAAATATTGGGTGTGGAGAGAACCTGATTACGGGAGGAGATGGTTTGACAGGCAGCTTTGTTCTTTCGTTCAAGGCACGAACGGGTTTGCTGCTATTTATTATACACTGTTTGAAGAAGCCGTCCAAGCTGATGTGGAGGTTCTCTGCATGCCCAAGACGGGGAACTGGCATGCCGCCGTTGTTTGCCCCAGGATTTATGGGACTCTCATGGCTCGATACAATAATTATGACTATAGGACCCGATATAACAAGGAATACTATCAGATTGGTCTCTTTGAGAGGAGTCGAGAGGATCCAGTGGAGGTGGGGCCTAGGGGTTTGGTGGCGCTCTCGAGGTGTAGGGTCGCCGTTCCAGTGAAGTCCTCGCTCGTTGTTGAAGCAAATTTTATTAGCGATGGAAATGATGGTGTTCCTCATCAAGTGTTGTGCTCTAGG